TGCAACGAAATAAGAGTATTGCTTATTGATATGGATCGGGGCAGGATCGGACTCTGTGTTTCCTTCATTCCTTCATTCTCTCTTTCTTTTAACTTTGTGGTTAATCTGTACAGACATAACGGGGAGACGAGATATTTATCTATTTCTGTATCAATTCATTGCATTGATCAACACTAAAATAAACACACCTTGAAACATATTATCGACACTATAAAATGAGACATTCACTATTAAATTATTAGAGTTGAGTTGCATGCAATCATACACCGGTAGAGTATCTCATAATCTATCTGAAATGAAATCTAAAATCATAAAATTAAACATCTCTTTCCTAAAACGTATTCGTTTTTTCATATAAACATATACATGCGACTCAAGCAGTTAGAAATATAATAATCAGTCTCACTATATTAATTCTATCCATGTCACAAAATGGTGTTATTAAGATCACATGTATAAATTTAACAGGAAATATTTAGAAAATTTGAAATTACTTTTCAAAAATGTTAGTTATTCAATTTTGTTAAACATAACAGTATCAATTATATAACAATGCTGGAGAAGAACCTTCAGTTAAATTAGATACTCAAATACTATGAAATTCAAAAAGTATATGGATTGTATATGATTCGAAGTCCTTTCAATTACTTGATTAACTCACAGATAGTCTGTTTTGGACAAGCTAGATATTTTTCCAGATATAGTTCTCTGACCAATCTTATGAAGGATAGACGAGTAGGTTGTCATTAATCAATTCAAAAATTAAATAGATAAATAAAAGGAATTACATTACATCAATTCAGAGACGTATATATTACATATTACGTAATATATACGTATTTGATCATCCGAAAGCTAAATACTAAATGACATGAAAACTTGTTGTCTAATTCCGTGTTCAAACTTGATTCGACTCCCAGAGATACTGTATACATACACTTTTAATAACCATGAGTTTGTGACACTAATTAGGAAATAACAGAAATCTGTTATCTGGAGTACGGCTCCATTCTGGACTCGGGCAAATATCCCGGGTCTGTGCCCCCGGGCACTTAACAATCCAAGTTCCTGAAGGTACACTAATGAGGTGTATACTGGTACCGAATCTAAATCACAGCTACAGGTATATATATATATATTGGTTATGCAATGACGACGAAAACGGAGATAAATTTTGAATAGAATAGAGGATTTTCCCAAAAATTACTTAGTCAACTAAATTAGAACAGATGTTTAAATAATTTTATTATGCAATGAATGTTATAAACGTATTTACGTACATAGTTATAACAACTATCGATATACATGTTTATAATATGTATAAATATAGATTTGTTCCAATATATACTAAAGATACATGCTTGTGAAAAGTAAATCTACTCATACTAAATACTCGTCGAATTTATTTAATCAAATTTAAGTCTTGAAAAACATCAAGTTATATGAATGCATAACCACGGACTTTATCCAATTCCGTGTACAATATCTAATTTTAATTATAAAACATTATATCAACATGTATGTAAGTCCCAGGTATTGTTTATTTAGGTGGATTACAATGTTATAACAGCTTTTTCTCAGAAGTTAATTTAATAAATTGGTTTAGTGATAAAGATACTAAAAATTGTGCAACTGACTGCGATGAGCAACGTTTTACTTTTACGGGAGAAGGTTTTGAAAAGTTTTAACAATTTGTGACCACTACCTTGTACTATATGGTATAAAATGTACATATATGTCTATTGTCGCTATCACATTGTTGTAGTACAATTGTTGAGGAGAGGGCTTTAATAAGTTGTAATAACTTGTGCCCAATCCTCTTGTTTGAATTTAGAAGCAATACAATATGTTTTAATTAAAATGAAATATGTTGAACGAAAAAAGAATCTCAACGATTCCCAACCACTTGTACAGACCAAATCCCGCCTGATATTGAAAGCGAAGTTGATTGGCACACGAGACGTCTCTGACGAGACAGAGCTTACCAGACACATAGGAAATGTTCAAAGGAAATGTGTTCTATTTTGATGCACGTTCATATAAGACCAGAGAATACAAATTTGAAACGTTTTATTGTGGAAAAACGTCTGCGTTGCTGTCCGGTGATATACCATTGAATAATCTGTTCTTGACGTTTTACAGTTTTGAGTTTAGCTGGTGAATTCATTTTCTCAGCTTCATCAGACAAGATAATCATATATGTGTAATTAACCAATCTAAATTGTTCACTCGGCACGCGACGCCAATATTCAAAAGCCAACAAATTAACCATTTAGCTTATGTTATTACAAAGTGTAATCTTAATGACATAGAAGACGAGTGTTATTTTGTTTTAGTTTGCACAAGATATACAGATTTACGACGGAAGTATTTAAAATGTTACTATAGAAATAACCCTAGTGTATATAAGCTTGTTCAATTAGTTAATACACAGAATATTAAAGAATTATGTTATCTTGGAAAGTATCGCAAATAAGCGCCGATCAGATATATGACAGTTTGTATGTGTGTATTGTTCATTCTCCTGTGACCAATGTGGCTTTTTGTACATATGTAAATATCCTGTTTAATATATGTTTACACTGATAAGTCGCAAGACTTAAAGTTAATAAAGAACTAGAACATATGTGTTCACAGGAGGGCGGGGTCACTGATAAGGTGGGGTACTTACCTGTAACGATGATTGGCTTGTGTCGCAAGGTGATTGATGGCTAAGAAATTTGCTGACAGAGTCATCAATGTACGTTTTTGTTAGAACAAGAAGTCTATTGTCTACTATTACGGAATTAGATAATCGGTTTTGACCACACCGGCCTTTGAAAATTGAAACTTAAAGCGTTTCACCGTTTTTCTTTCTACGATACATATACAATTAATATACAGCATTGTTTTTCTATAACAGATAAGGCCTATGTGGCCAAACAATCCAACATATGGACTTCAATATTTATTTACGTAAAACACGTGGACTACACATCCCTGTATTTACATATAGAATAATATTTAATTTTCAGACTGATGTCACTTTTTTGAGTTGGAAAATTGCGTATTTTCTTTGAAAGATACTTAGAAGTTTCATTTGATTGAACTGTTAACCGTCTGCACATCAATAAGTACAAGAACAAAGGATTAATATAATCTTAATGATTATTTTTTTAAGATCGTAGACGTGATTGGATGGTAATCTACACATTAACACCAATTCATTCACTCAAAATATATTCATGCTATTTATTAAGAGTTGAGTATAAGTTATGAAGTTATTAAAATTTGGTTATCATAATGTCATTTCCAATGTTTCATGTGTTATGACATCCCAATAACAATGTCATATATATAAATGAGAAAATAACCCAGATACATATTTATTATATATGTAATATATAATTCTTTGAACAACCTTTTTTGATAGAATAAACCAGAGACATATATTGGAACCTCGGCCTGGCAATTTATAAATATATATAATTTAGTCCGATCCTGCCCCGTTCCTGTAATTGCAATTCTTTTATCAAATATATCTTATACCCGATAAAAAAAAAACATGATACTAGAAATGTAGGTATCATAAGTAATATTGACATAAATGTATTTATATAATTCAGTCCGATTCTGCCCCGATCATGTAATTGCATGATAAAAGGATAATTAAAAATATACAATAAATATATATAAATAAGTCCGATCCTCCCCCGTTTCTGTCCGTTCCTGTAAATCGTCGCCCGTTTCTGTCCGTTCCTGTAAATCGTCGCCCGTTCCTGCCCGATCCATATCAATACAATACTCTTAATTCCTTGCAATTCTTTTATCAAATATATCTTATACCCGATAAAAAAAATATATGATACTATAAATGTAGGTATCATAAGTAAAATCGTCATAAATGTATATATATAATTTAGCCCGATTCTGCCCCGATCATGTAATTGCAATCCTTTTATCAAATATATCTTATACCCGATAATGATACTTAAATGTATCTAATATATATATTCATTAATGTATATAATTATTAATAGATTGCTGCCCGTTCCTGTCCGTTTCTGTCCGTTTCTGCCCGTTCCTGCCCGTTTCTGCCCATTTCTGCCCGTTTCTGCCCGTTCCTGCCCGTTCCTGTAAATCGTCGAATCCGTATAATATGGGAATTGGAAGTCAGATTTGGTTACCTAATTGGCATTATAGATTTACAGGAAAATGCACTGCAGCTTTGAAGGGATAAAACTCTGGTAAAGATAACAGATTTATGTGTAAGGTAGAATAAATCATTAAAATTACAATTTGTTTTTGAAACAGCAGTGTCATAAACAATTAGGTTCCAATGTGTAAGTAGGTCGCAAGTTTTTCTCCAGGTACTCCGGTTTTCCCCCCATCCCCAAAATCTGGTACGTTCTTAAATAGCACCAACAAACCAAACTAACTAATTGAGTACGTCATGTAAACATTCATTGATAATATGCAAATGACAACAAAAACGTATAAATTTGTTTATAAAATGTAATATAAAGAAACATATGTATATAACAAGGATATTTTGAGTTGTCCCCCTCTAACTGCTGGTGATGATGGCTGGAAATACTATGCACAGAAATTCATGTTTTTTATCGTCGAGGATAGCCATTTTGACGACAAGTGTGATCTGAAAAAAATACAACACTCAAGGTAACATACACACATGTATTACATATATTACATATTAATACAGAAAAATATTTTGGAAAACATTTTGTAATTTATATAGAAGAAATATATCAGAATATGTTTCATTCACATCTGGGTATTTACAGATGGTTTTAAATACAATGTTTTATTCCTTTTGTTGTAGTTACAGATATGTTTACATTCAAATGATACTTTCACAAGACACGCAGATGTTGTAAAATGGTATCATCTCCATTAACTTGATATCACAATTAATCCCAGGAGACAATGGAGTGATATTGTACCTTAGTCTGAAACAATTACAATGTCTCCCGTTTAGTACCGGACGTTTTCTTAATAGGTACGTTCCATATCTTTAATGTAACTAAGAAACTACCTCTGGGTAGGCTGGTGCAACAAAGATGCTGTTCTTGTACTGTGACTGAGATCCGGACTTGATGGGACAGTCTAGATTTTTACTGGCACAACAATCCTCCTCTGTTGGAAACTTGATCGGAACGCCGTCAATAATACCATATATGGAGTTAGTTGGATGGGTCACGTCTTCAGCTGTAAACGGACCAAATGATAACTCAACATGATAAACATACTGGGATTTTGTTGCAATAAACCTGAATGTGATGACATAGTGCTGTGCGGCTTTCATTTCATTCGAGTGACCTATTTATTGAAATGATGGCGTTTTTGCCGTGAATGATATAACTTATTTGCATTGTAGTCTATTGACATGGTAGCTGTGTTTATTTATTTTTATTTATTATTTCAGTTCAACAGACCAGGGGGTCCAGTTACAGAATTGATAACAATAATATAGTAAAATATCACAGATAAATAGATACATGTACTTTATAAGGTACTGGTATTGTACGATGAAAAACTGTAAAAGTGCAGAGGACCGTAAACATTTTCATGGAGCAAAATATCAATTCTTTCTACAAGATATGAACAGCCAAATAGCCCAGATCTAACACAAGGTTACTTATATACAGTGTAGTTTATTTAGACGGTGGCGTTTGTGCCATTTACTAGATGACATACTGACAGTGTAGTTTAATTGAGACGATGGTGTTTGTGCCGTGGACTCGATGACTTATTTACAGCATATTTTACTAAAATAATGGCGTTGATGTCATGGACATGATGACATACTGACAGTGTAGTGTTATTGAGACGGTGGCGTTTGTACCGTGGACCAAATGACTTACTTGCAGTGTAGTTTATTGTGATGTTGGCGTTTATGCCATGGACTAGATGATTAACCAGCATTGTAGTTTATTGAGACGGCAGCGTTTGTATCGTGGACTGAATGACCTACTTGCAGTGTAGTTTATTGAGATAAAGACGTTGATGCCGTGGACAAGATGACATACTGACGGTGTAGTTTTATTGAGGCGGTGGCGGTTTTTTTTGCCGTGGACTCAATGACTTACTTGTAGAGTAGTTAATTGAGACGGCGGCGTTTGTGTCATGGACTAGATGCCTTACTTGCCAGTAGTTTTATTGAGACGGTGGCGATATGCCATTGACACTATGACTTCCTTGCAGTGTAGTTTATTTAAGTGTTGGCATTTGTGCCGTGGACTAGATGACTTACTTGCAGTGTAGTTTATTTAAGTGTTGGCGTGTGTGCCGTGGACTAGATGATTTACTTGCAGTATATTTTATTGACACGGTCGCGTTTGTGCGACTAAATTACTTACTTGCGGTATAGTTTACTGAGACGGTGGCGTTTGTGCCGTGGACTAAATAACTTACTTGCAGTATAGTTTACTGAGACGGTGGCGTTTGTGCCGTGGACTAAACTACTTACTTGCAGTATATTTTATTGACACGGTCGCGTTTGTGCCGTGGACTATATTACTTACTTGCAGTGTAGTTTATTTAAGTGTTGGCGTGTGTGCCGTGGACTAGATGATTTACTTGCGGTATAGTTTACTGAGACGGTGGCGTTTGTGCCGTGGACTAAATAACTTACTTGCAGTATAGTTTACTGAGACGGTGGCGTTTGTGCCGTGGACTAAATTACTTACTTGCAGTATATTTTATTGACACGGTCGCGTTTGTGCCGTGGACTATATTACTTACTTGCGGTATAGTTTACTGAGACGGTGGCGTTTGTGCCGTGGACTAGATGACAAGGCTCTGCCGTACATCCTGAAACGTCTACCGACTGTATCGTGGCACCGGTGGATCCTGTAATGGAGACAAACTAGGTTTTATGTAAAGATTAACCACTAGAAAATGCGAAATCAGGAGGCAAATATTTACATGATGATGTAAGACAGTAGCGTGTAAAGGGGTCATATGGTTTACTGATCGTTCTCTCCCGTCTTTGAGTATTGCAGAGTTATCTTCTCTTGTGAGCAGGTATTGATTGTTACGTCATTGGTGTGTGTGAGAAAATTACGTCATTTTCTCAAACATTGATGACGTTACTCCCACAAACAAATGACGTAACAATCAATACCTACTCACAAGTGCAGATAACTCTGCAATACGCAAAGACGGAATACCACTCTTTCATTAACACATTTTATTGTTATTATTGATTTGATTTGCATAAGATGAAGAGGCAACCGTAACATCATTTTGCGTACTTTTAAACCTCCTAAACAGAAGATAAATACTTAATATTAACAGGGAGAAACAAAAAAAGATAGAAATAACATTTCGGAATGTCATTAACTCTAATTTAAAAAGGTTTAATTTAATCTACAGGAGTATATTCCGTCTTTGTATATTGCAGAGTTATCTTCCCTTGATAACATGTATTGATTGTTACGTCACTTGTTTAAGAGAGTAACGTCATCAATTTTTGAGAAAACGACATACTTTTCTCACACAAACCAATGACGTAACAATCAATACCTGCTCCCAAGAGAAGATAACCCCGCATTACGCAAAGACGGAATAGCTTATGATAATGAAAAATGGCTAAAGCGTTCACGCTGATTTTTTAAGAATACAAATGTTTTGACATTGGTCTTTAATCTTTAAAAAGAACGATGTTTTTATATAACAAATAAAAGTGTAAAGATGTTCGTAGGCATTAAACCTCCCGATGGATCGATTTTAAAAGGACGAGCTCCATCAGAAAAGATTTGTCTACGATTTCAAAATAAATGTTTGTATTGTTTTAAAATATGCAACGACATTTGTCTAGTTAGTCATTTATAAAAATCCAGCATATGTGATATATACAAAGCATGGAATGAAAATTTATCATCACAAAGAATCATATTTTAACGTTTTAACGTTTTTAAGCATTCACAAACCTTGAAATACCAGTATATAATTTATCATATAAAGATAGTATATTAATAGATAATATAAGGACATTTAAACTTAAGATGCACTACAAAGAAACAAAATGTGCATGTGCAACAAGTTAACAATCGTAAAAACATGTTACAATTAATGGCCGAGTCACCAAAGTGTCCTTAAATATAAAACAAATGTCAAAATGAATAAAGTAATAAGGGTGTAATTTTTAGCTTCGTGTGAATTCTTGGAATGAGCAAAAACGAAAGTATCAATTGTAGAACTCAAACTTTCATTGCTATAGCCTTTCAAAAACGAGGTCGGACCAATGACCAGGTTTACCCTATTTTGGGGGTAGATTGTGCAGAGTAGATCGGTGACATTCATCCAATAAGTCTTTCATCCAATGGTTGTCAGTGTGTAGAATACATGTAGTAAGGGAATACCGCGTATTTTGAAGAGGTACGACCTATATATTGATACAATTTTTCCAATAAATTAAAACGGGGAAAAGGCGAAAGTTAAATTAATACCGTTCTTCTTTAAAAAAAAAAAAAAGAGAGAGAAAGCACAATATACAAATGGAAAGTATGTATGTTATTACACAATGATTTATATAGTTTTACATAACTGCACTAAATCAGTAATTCATTCTTCGTGGCAAATAGATGGTGCATTCCTTCAGTATCTTACAAATCTATCTAACAAAGAACAAGTGTGTGTCATCACAGACATCATATTGATACACAAAGCCTCTGTCTCAGTTAAATGGATTAGGATGAAAAGCGACTGTATCAGTGACGTTTAACGTGTATCAACACCCTTTATATACTGTTGGTTTAGCACACATTTGACTTGGAGGTCAATGAGATTGTATTATATACAGAGGATATATTAAATTAAAGAACTATCTGTGCGGAAGCTATCAATGATATATCTTATTAAAATAATAATGATCGTTGGTTATTAGTAAAGACTTTTTTTGAAAGAAAAGCCAAATAATATAAAAAGTTCTATTTTGTCTAGATATTCTTGTCTGCTTACATTAGTGTTTGCGTACGGAATTTGTATTATATATGTGAAATATAAACCAACTATAATGTGTTTTTCTTTGAAATGTAATAGCTTATGATGAAAACATTTATTTTTTTTGTTTAAAGTATAACTTTAATTAATGGAGAACATAATTTAGGACTGGACATATTTTCGTATTATCAACTTGACGAAATGATTGCTAACAAAAATAGTAGATATGTATAAAGGTCACTACTTACCACAGTCTTTGAATGTTATAGGGTTTGCCAGGGCTGTGACTAACAGAGCCGAGAGGACTACCACTGTGTACTTCATCTTGCTGCCTTTGGACGCTTTGGCCCGGTGATCTGGTCATTTATATACAGTAGTTCGACCTTCAGATCTACTCGGCCCACATCAATATGTAATCACCTCATCCCGCTATATAATATCGTACGACAGCGTGTAACCTGTACGGTATGATGATTATTTGATTAAAAGATTAATATATTTGACATAAAGATAGGTTGGTGATGGACGAAGTGTAATACTTAATGCCTTTATTACGATGCAGTGAAATTCGGGCGTGCAGTTAAGTAAGTTTACGAATGCTTCTTAAATATTATGATATTGAGGAACAGGAACCAGTCAAAATTGTTATTTAAAAAAAAAAAACCCACTTCCTGACGAATATCAGGTGAAATCCACACTAATGGACAGAGTATGTCTGATGTCGTCCTATAAAAAAACAATTCTAATAAAATATCTTACAGTAACATACAGCTGACGGTGGCGGGGGGG